GAGACAACTAGCAGAAGACATGGATAGACAGAAGGTAAGCAGGGACTCTTTTCCAGCCAGAGCCAAAATGTTCACCTCCCACCCACTCCACTGACTGAACTGAGCTCCCCTTGAACCTGGAGGTGGTACAGTGGTGCCATGGAAAGTGCCGGACTTGGAGTTAGGAAGTCCTAGGTTTAAATCCAGCCTCAAGACACTGAACAGCTGTGTGACCCTGGGCAAGTCACTTAATTTTTGCCTGCCTCAGCTTTCATGTCTGTGTAAAATGGGAATAATAATAGCACCTACCTCCTAGGGTTATATTGTGAGGATAAAATGAGATATTTATGAAGTATTTGCAAAGTATTATATAAATGGTAGCTATTATTATTATTATGGAGGGGTGTGTGCATGGAAAAGCAAGCATCAGAGCAGGGAGGTCATAGCTTCAGGATCTCAGAGATTAAATCAATCAATGGGAAGGTTTGGAAGGAGGAAAGAAAGAGTTTGGAAATGAGGGTTTGAGCCCTAATCCTAGCATCAGGCTTTGCACACAGTTGATATTTAATAAATCTCCTCGAATTGAATTGGCTTGGTCCCAGACTTTGCCATTTGTATCATGGGACCTCACCAAGTCACTTCCTTGATATGGGCTTTCATTCCTATACCTGAATAATCAGGGAACTGAATGAGATGCTCTCTGACATCCTTGAATCTCTATGATTCTCTGTTTCTAAGTCTCTCCTGACTCCCAGAGCCTAGGGACACGAGAAAGGATGCGACGAGGGAACTAGTCCCTCCTTCCAAGTTACTGAGGAACATGGGTACTATTTCTCTAGGTTCCACCCTGGCTTTTCCTAGAGGAAAAGTGCAGGGAATGAGTGTGAGATTTATAAAGACTAGGGATATAGAGTCAGATTTTCTCTCTGTCTCTCTTTCTCTGTCTGTCTGTCTGTCTGTCTCTCTCTCTCTCACACACACACATACACACATGCTACAGACATAGAGACACATAGAGGGAAACTGACAAAGACTGGACAGAAACTGACAGACCAAGAAACCACAGGAAAAGACAAGCAAAAAGCTTCAGAGACAGTTTCTGACTATGAAAGGCAGAAACAAAGAGAGACTCAAAAAGCGTCTGAGAGAGAAGTACTAGACAAAGGAAGAGACAGACAGACATTCAGACAGACAGACTATTCCTGGAGAAGGGGGGAGGGCTGGCCCCTGACTGACAGAGAAAAGGAATCGACAGCTCAGTCCTGGCCTTGGCACCTGGCCCAGTTCAGTCCTGGCATGGCGCCTGCCCCACCCTCCCCTGGGGGCCCATGTCTATGCACTCCAGAGCCCTGGGGCTGGGTACAGGTGTAGGGGGGGAAGGTCTCATGAGCCCCCTGTTTGTGCTTCCAGGAGCTCAGCCACCTTTAACCCTGTCCTTGCCACACAACCAGGAGCCAGCCCAGCCTGGTGAGGGAGAGAAAGGTAAACTGTGATCAGGTTGGATTTGAGAGGGAAAGGTCTGATCCCAGGAGAAGAAGGATTGGTAACTTCCCTGACAGGGGATGGAGGCTTAGAATCTGTGGGCCTTGCCCTGTGGCAGGAACAGGAGGAGCACGGACACTCCAAGGTGGGAGGATGGAGATGTTCTATGCCACCATCACCCAATCTCCCCCTTCACAACCTGAGATTCCAAAGTCTCTCTGCAGGTTTCCCCTAAATCCAGTAAATTTATCCTACAATGTAGCCCCCAATGGAGAGATCAAAACAGGGGCTGTTCTTGGGGGTCTTTCTGTCCATCTGCTCTGGTAGTCCTCTCTCTTCATGCCTACCTAGCTCCCCAGTAATGTTATCCCAATACAGAGCTAAGGAAGGTAAAGAAGCCATTTCATTCATTCCAAATGTAGATTTGGGGCAGTATCTGTATTTTGGTCCAAAGGCTCTACCCCTCGATCTTTTATCTTTCTCACATGCTCTTTTCTGGCAATGACACCACTCATCCCTCCTAGGGCTTCCACTACTACCATCCTGAAGTTGACTCCTAAATCTGCAGCTCCAGTACTGACCAGTGTTCTAAGCTCTCACCCTCTTCTCTGCCTCATGTAGCTGTTCCCCTAGGTATTAGATTTAGTGTGTCCAAAACCAAGTTCATTATCTTTGCCCCCAAACCTGCTTCTGTTGACTTCACTACTTCTGTCTGTGGCACCATCACTGACCATTAAGTCTTATCTTTGTCTTTTCCGTCTCCCATATCATTTGACAAAACTTTCAATTCCACCTCATCTGTCTCTCTCTCTCTCTCTCTCTCTCTCTCTCTCTCTCTCTCTCTCTCTCTCTCTCTCACACACACACACACACACACACACACACACAACCACAGAGCCCACTTTCTATTTCCAGTGCCACTAACCTAGTGTGAGCCAACTCTCACTGGCCTGAATTATTACAATAAACTAGTAGGTCTTCCTGATTATACTATCTCCCCTTCCCAATCCATCTTTCATACTATGTCAGACTCTTCTTTGCTTCTCAAGTAAAACTCAGATTCATCAGGTTAGTTTTCAAGGCCTTTCACAGTCTGGCCTAAACCTACTTGTATGTCCTAATCTGTGCATTTTGCTTCATGTCCTGTGCTCTACTACCTCCATACCTTTGTTCAGACTGTCCTAGACTGTCCTCCCCTTTTTTCACATTGAGCATGTATACATGTATGTATGTATTCATGTACCTATATTAGCCCAACTTAAATACCACCCCCAAAATGGCTTCCTTCATCTCCCCCTTCTCACTTGTAACTCACATAGCACCTAATCTGCTCCTAGAGGCAGTAGATGGTGGTACAGTACATAGAGCACTGGGAGGGCAGTAAGGAAGACCGGAGTTAAAATCTGGTCTCCGACACTTAATAGCTGAGTGACCTTGCACAAGTTCATTAACCTCTGTTTTCTCAAATGTAAAATAAGAATAATAATAGTACCTACTTTGCAGAGTTGTTGTGAGGATCAAATGAAATAATATTTGTAAGACCATGTCCTCAGCACAGTGCCTGGCACATAGTAGGTGCTACATGAATGCCTAGTCTAATTCATTTTACCTTTGTACATCTGTAACTGGAATATTGTATATTCCAGTTACCGGAGTTTGTGCTTTATCTCTCCACTGGACTTTAAGCTGAATGAATGCAGGGAGTGTATTTTATCTAAATTTTGTATTTTCACCTAGAACTAAGCACAGGGCACAGGTGATAACTATACGATCAACTGAATTGAATTTGACCAGCAAACACCCCTCTTCCCTTTTTCCTCCCCCCACCTGGAGCACAGATAACTGAGTTACTTGTGGTTTCTGACATCTCCCCTCTATCCTCCCAAACTTCCTGAATTCCTGGTTCCTTCAGCCTCTGACATACAGGTTCTATTTGACCTTCTCCTTCCATCCACCCCACTAGGTCAAATTTTGCTGGGGTGGGGGTAGGAATGCATGGGTAGTTGGTATACTGCTTCAGCTGTCCAAACTGGCCCCTTTTCCCCTCTTCCCACCCACTGCAATGGCCCCTCCCCCCTCAGACTCCTGAGTCTGACTTGACCCCAAGGAAGTTCCCAGCTTAGTGACTACAAAACAAGTATATGGTGGGGGGTGGGGTGGGGTGAAGAATTTCAATGACTGGATGTATGTTTGTGTCTCCAAGACTTTTGTGTGGCTTGTGTATGGCTGCTATACGTCTTCAAGACTGCAGTCTGAGTGTGTAGCCGTCTGTTCTGGGTATGTATGCCTTTCTGTCACTGCTCTGAGTTTATATTCAATGTGTCATGTATGACAAAATCTGTTTTTGAGACTACTGTTGTGTCTCTGTCCTCATGTGTATCTAAGACTGCTATGTGACTGCCATGTGCTGAAACTGCTGGGCCTCCGTATCCTATGAGACTGCTGCTGCCTGTCAACTGGGTAGTTCTTAAGGTGACAAGATTGTTGTTCCTGGGTTGGGGAACACTTAAGGCTAGCATGGTAGATCTAGACAGACCCAGACCTAAAACCTGTGGAGTCAGCTCCCCTCCAGTGTGGCTCCACTGGAAGCCTGGTACAGGAGCTCCTTCCGTTGGGAAGGTGACCAGGGCAAAAGGATTAAAGACTTAAAATTGCATATAACCTGAGAGGTCACTGTAGTCCAAACCTTCACTTTGCACATAAGGAAACTGAGGCCCTGGGAAGTTCAATGACTTACTCAAGGTCACATCTGGTAAAGGCCAAAGGTGGGATTTGATCTCACTTCCTCTGATTCCAGTGATTCCACTATTCTTTTTATAAGGAGCAGTCTCCTGAATCCTGGTGCCCTTCCTCTAAGTCCCCTGGCCCCTGCTCCACACCTCCCCCACCCTTGAGTTTCTCAGTTCCTGCCTTACTCCTCCCAGCCCTCTCATCTCCTCCGTTGCCTCAGCTCTTGTCTCCTCCACTAAGCCCCTCTCAGGCCCCTAAGGCCCCTCCAGGACCCAGTGGCCCGTACAAAGCAGGCCCTCTCTCCTCCTCCATTCCCCCAGGCCTCCTTCTCTTGGACTCTAAATATACTCAGAGAATCTTCCCCTCTCTGGTTTCTCCAGTAACTCAGCCCCGACAAGCTAGGATTTCAGGGCCAGGGCTCTAGCTTGGGCACTGTGAGAAGGGGGTGGGGGAAGAGACTGAGAAGCCTAGGACTTGGGGCAACAAAGCCTGGGCTTGGTAGTTCTCGGTTGGCTGAAAAAGAGCTCAGGCCTTCCCTCCCCCAAGCAGAGCAGGCAAGGTCTGGGCCTGGCAGGGCCTGAGTCTGGGTCCAGGCCACGAGGCTGGACACCCACCTGACGGACTTGGTGAGTCGGTGCCGGCGAATGTCCTCGTCGCTGAAGGAGAAGTGTGTAGCAGGCTCAGTGCCGGCACCCAGGAAAGCCAGGGTCAGGGCCGGGGGCCGAGGCTGGGGTCGGGGCTGGGCCGGGGGCGCCCCCGCCTCTCCCGGGGAGCCGGGTGGGCAGGAGCCAGAGAACATGGGAGCGGCACATGGAGAAGCTGGGTGCTAAAGCGGGAGCAGGCTGGGGCTGGGCTTGGCGCCGGGAGTCCGGCGCGGGTCCGGCTCCTCGCAGCCCCAAAACAGAAGGTGGAACAGTAAGTGGAACCGCAAGTCTGTGATCGCTAGCGGCCCTGAGAGCGGAGGGGACGCACCAGAGTCTGGGGCATGTGGCCCCGCCTTTGGCAGGAGGGGCCAGGAGAACAGCCCAGGGTCACCCCCAAGAGACGGGACGAGACCCAGGAGTCCTGGAACCCGGAGCATAGCGCAGCGCTCGAAGGGAGGCGGGGTCGGCAGAAACCTCAGGAAGCTTCACTCAGAAGCGCAAACTTTCCACTGAGTGACCGCACTCCGCTCCCTGAGGACCCACCCAGAGAAGATTTAGGGGTGGGGAAGGTGGTTGCTCCTGCTGGGGGAATTTGTTTCTGTAGTGTGTCTCTCGGGTGAGAAATGACTTGGACTCTCTCCCTGGAGCTCCGATGCCCTGCTCCCCTTCCTGTCATATAACTCCCCATAGAGACCCTCAGCTCTCTCAACCCTTGGCCCCAGAGGGGCCATCACCGCAGGTTTTTATAGCCCTTCCCCCAAGCTGCGGCCAGAGTCTCCGCCCTCCTTCCCCCCCAACCTCCCGGTGACGCCCGAGCTCCGCTGTGCCTGAGGGCAATGAATGCCGAGGGATTTGGGCTTGGTCCCCCACCTCCTCATCGCTTCTTGCTACTCTGCAGGTCCTCTCCTAGTGGAGAAAGGAAGAATCCCAGGCTAACTGCAGAGCTAGGGAACTGTCTCCACTTGGACGGAGCCCCCTCCCGTAAGCTATAGCAAGAAATTCAACTCGAAGACTACACGGGGAGACAAATACCCAATTTTAGACTACGAAAGACAAGGACCCAGAGACAGAAGGCCTCTGGACGCGCCCCATGCGGCTTTCGATTCTCCCGGAGTTTCGGTCCCTTGTTTAGGGGACGGAAGGGAATTTCTTGGCCCAGCTCAGTCTCCAAAGACCCCACCTGCGGGTCGATTTTGTCCCTGCACCCGTAGCTCCGCTGCCCTAATTCGGACCAGCGGTGCCTAGCACCGGGGCAGGTGCACTAAGAGGGAGGAGCTAGAAGTGCGCCTAGAGTTCTGAGGTATGGGGAAGACAATCTAAGCGTCTGGGCTTCCAGCTCTGGGTGACCTCCAATCGCGGAGGGTTGACAAATAGTTTGAACGAAACATTTTTAGTACAGTAAGGTCAGACCTCTGCTATTTTGACCTCACTGTAGGGCCAGGGCTGATCTCGCCCTTCCCACCCGAGGGTGCCTCTTCTCCTTCCCAAATCTCTCCCGGGCATCAGAAAGAGGGCGGGCAATAGTTTTCCCGCCGCTTCCGAGAAGAGCTTTCCCCAGGTAGGTACCTCACCCGAGGCCAGACTGGGCTGTGGGCCGCTGTCGGGTCAGGCTAGGGCTGGGTTGGGGGAGGGGGGCGCGCGGGCCGGCCGAACTTACCGCACCCGGCCCTGGCGGTGAGAGTCCCGGAGCTTGCGACTGGGCAGCAGACGCTTTCGGAAGGTCGGGGAATTAGTGGAGAAAAAGACAGGCGAGTGGGGCGGTGTGAGCCGAAGGCGCGGGGGCCCGCCCGGAGATGACTCCGGCAGGAAAGCTTCGTCCTCTGTCTCGGACTCCCGCCTGAGTCCCGGGCCTGACAGCAGCAGCTTCGGGATCCGGCCCAGGTTGGGCCCCCTTGCCATGGCCGGGCACCGGTCCTGGGCCCCGTGTCCTCGGAACAGCCACGTGGGGCCCAGGAGAGACGGCTGGAGGCCTGGCTGTGGGCCCGGGCCACCTCCCTGCCTCCGCTGGGGCCTCCCCTCCAGAGCCGGCGGCTTGCGGAACGGGAGGCGGGGGGAGTGGGGAGGATAAGGAGGGGAGGTCTGATCCCGCGGCCCCGCCTAGCTCTGGCTGGGGCCCTCCGACTGTGTTGTTCCGCCCCATCCCCTGCCCAGTACCCTGCGCTAGCCCCGGGCTCCAGCCCTTCCGGCTTTTCTGGAGGGGTAGACTAGAGGGGTCGAGGAAAAGAATTGCTCGAAGCAGGAAGCCCCCAGAAGCGCCAGCTCTCAGTCTAAAGTACTGTCCCGGGGCTACCAACCCTAGACACGGCCTCAGGTCTCCCAAGTCCTCTGCACTCTGCCAGGGTTCTATGTGCTCCTTGAATCCATTCTGGCAGCTTAAGGGGCAGCCTTCACCCAGCCAGCCTCCTTCCTCCTCCGACCGTATGTGTATTTGGAAAAGCGGAAGGCCAGTCTGCTAGGACTGGAATGGAAGGAGGGGCCCAACGGGGCCACAGCCCCTGAATAGAGAGAAAGGACCATGCCGAGATATTTTCATTACAGGGGCGCTGGGTTTGGCGAAGCTGCAGTTGCGGTGAGGCGCTGTCAGGTTGGGCTTAGCGATGGCCTCGGATTTAGAAGCGGTACTTCAGGCCCTAAGCTCGGCCAGAGTAGCTCCCCGAGAACGGTTCGATGTGTGTGCCCCTAACTCCCCCTTCAGGCCAGGGGCTTCAAGCTCCACCTAACTGCTCAGACCAGGGTCTTCCCAGCTGCATTTGAGTGCAGCCTGTATTGCAATACATGCAGATTTTGCGGGTTTTATTCCTTCATCAGCGCAGACCGCAGCCTCTCTATAATTTAATCTTCACGTCAACAATCACGATCCGTTAACTGCAACTATCCTAGAGATTTGTTTCCCCGAATTTACCTAGGCTGCCTCAGAAGATGGACAAGCAGTCTTTCACCTCGGCTTTCCTCACTCAAAACCTTTCCAGCTTGGTAGAACCTGTCCGGGTTTGTCCTTGGCTGGCATAGTCTTAGAAATCCCAGAACCACCTCCCCACAGGCAGGAGGCATCAAGGAGATCTTTAGTGCACAGTCAGGGTCCATGGTTTGATCCCCACAAAAGTCAGTTAGCTCTTCTCCATCCCTTAGTACTAGACTGAGCCTTTAATCCAGTTTAAGTCTGATCCTAAGGACACTCTCAGCCCAGCCACAGAATGACCTATGTAAGTCACATTAACCCAACCACACATTGACCTCTGGCTTCAAGCTCAGGCTAATGATAATAATAGCTAGTATTTACCTAGGACTTGAAGGTTTGCAAAGTATTTTACATGCATTATTTCAGTTGATCCTCACAACAGCCCTGTGAAGAGGGGAAATTATCTCCATTTTACAAATGAGGAAACTGAGGCTAAGATATTAAGTGACTTGTCCAGGAAGACACATCTAGTAAGTATCTAAGAAGGTCTTAGAACTCCAATCTTGCTGACTCTAAACCTAATGCAAAATTCATAAAACTACAATTCTCCCTTACTGATCCTGTAACTCATAGTCGTCCCCCCCATCCCATGTATAATCCAGATTCAGACCCAAAGTCCCAGGATATGTACCCCACAGCCATTCAGGTCTGTCCTTACCACAGAGTACCTATGTCTTCTCATATCAATTTTCATCTCAGTGTTGGGCTTCCCTTTTGTTCTGTCATTTCAGTTTCATCCCATTCTTCATGGCCCCATTTTGGGTTTTCTTGCCAAAGATATTGTAGCAGTTTGCCATTTCTCCAGCTCATTTTTACAGGTCAGAAACTGAGGCAAACAGGGTTAAGTGACTTGCTCAGGATCACACAATTAGTGAGTGTCTGAGGCCAGATTTGAACTCAGGAAGATGCATCTTCCTGATTCCCAGCCTAGTGCTCTATTCATTGCACCACCTAACTGCTCTGGGCTCCCCTGCGAATGCCCATAACCCTTCTTAGGGATGTTTGCATTGTGAGACACCCCTTGTCAGGCTAAACCCCAGAGAGGGAGGGATCTGTTTAACATCATGACACCCCTGACAATCTCAGCTCATCAGTCTGCTGTGAGGTCCATGAAGTTCTCCCATAGAGGTTGACAAGAAAAAATATTTCAAAGTTTGTAAAGCTGTGAGAGAGGCAAATCCTTACCCCATCTCACAGGTCAGGAAATTGAGGTTCAGAGGGGGCAAAGGGACTTATTGATTTGTCTTCACATAGTCAAGTGAAGACTCAGGCCAGATGTGAAACCTAATTCTTTCCTGCCTGGGATCTTCCCACACACATACTTTGACTGAATCTTGAATGGTAGATTTTCAGGCTCAGGGACAAAAGAGTAGGAGGAGAGACTTGGGGTACCCATCTTTCCATGGCCCAGAGCCTGGGAATTGGCTGGCACAGGAAGCTGTTTGGGGACCTGCTAAGATTAAACATCTCCAATGTGGATGGCTATTTATAACCCAAGATGGGGGGCACCTTCCCCCACAGACTGCCTCTCTCCTCTCAGGGCTGGAGAGGAAAGTAGGCTGTCATTTTAAGTAGGGGGAGAAGGATTGCCAGTGAAATAATTGGGGGACCTAGGATACAATCTAACCTTGTCCGTTAGAATCTGTGTGATTCCGGGCAAGTTATTTATTATCCCTCTAGGTTTCAGTGCTTTCCTTTGTGGAAAAAAAAATAATACTTTGGGCTACATAAGCCCAAGCTGCTTCCAGTGCTACGATTTTCAGAATTTCAGCCATTCAGCTCCCTTCCTCCACTGATTCCCACAAATCCTTAGCCCTCCCCACATCTCAAACCCTAGCCAAGTGGATCACACAGTCCTCCTGACTGGCACAGAGTGGAGCTCCAGGATCCCTTGCCCCTGATTCCAAAATCACTGGTTACTGACTCCAGCCATAAAGCATTCCTTCTCAAGGCGGAAGCTTCTAGGGCTGCGAGAGGGCTGGGTGGGGGATCTGCGAGGCTTTCCCAGGGCTGAAGGGAAAGAGTGGGGAGCAAGGGGACTCGCTGAATCGAGCAGACTGAAAGCCTTTGTCCTCTTACCAGTGGCCACGAGGGGGCGCCAAAAATCTAGGGACGGCGGGACCAAATAGAAAAGTAGGGTTCTCTGGAGAGAGTTCAGGGGGAGAGAGGAAAGACACTTGCACGGGCTGGGGCAGATGAGCATCAGAAACAGAGAATGACACAGTCAGGCAGAGGCAGGACTTAGAGTCTCAAGACTGATGCGACCCAAGGCGCCTGCAAAGTCTATAAAGTCTAGTATCCCAAAGCGCTTCCCTTTCTTCTCCAGAGGCTGCCCCGCCCTTTCCCCACAGATTTGCGCCTGTGAGGAGGTGGTAGAGACTTTGTCTACCTGTCTACCTGCGCCTCTTGCTCCAAGGGCCCAGGTCCTGCTTTAGGAATCTTTCTGTTCCTTGGGGTTACATCTGTGTCTGAACCTTATGCTAAGGCGGGGCTCGCCAGATTTCCATCTGTGTCTTTCTCGCTCGCTATCTTTGTATCTTTGTCTTTCCCGTCTTCAGGTTCCGAGCGGGGGGTCACGTTCCCCAACCCTCCTTGTGCGGTTCTCTCGGGCTCCATCTGCCTCCTGACTAGAATGTCAGCCCGTGACTCAGCCCCGCTAGGGGGCGGGCGGGGGCGGGGACTCGGTGTCTCAGTCTCACATCCCCACTAGTGTGCCAGTGTGTATGGGGACTGGGGGCTCGCTGAGTGGGGGCGCCTCTTTGTCTTTTGACAAGGGCCAAGTCCCTTCATCTCCCTAACGCGCTATTAGCAGGAGAACCTTGGCTCGGCGTCACCGCTAGAGCACACTGGTCCCCTGCTCCCGCCCTCACAAAAACCAATCAGGGTAAGCTTAAGTTTATGGAAAGTAGATTGATTCCCCTTCTTCCAGACAGCCCCCTGAGACTAGTACCTATTTGCCTGCCACCAACTGTGAGCACAAAAGTCCTGGGACAAGAAGGAGATAAAGACATATTTGCGCAAGGTGAGGCAGATAGAAATACAAAAATGTACAGATACAGAAGAAATAGAAATAGGGAAAAATCAAGATACATACAGAGATGGACAGAGGTAGGCAGAGAAACAGAAGATAGTCAGACAGAGAAACTCCAACTGCCACACTCCCTGGTCCGGGAAGAGATTCCCTTTTTTTCTCATTTCCACTTTCAGCCCGCTAACTGGACAGAATTCTCTCCATTCCCCCCCCCTTCCCTTTGCAGTGTTTTCCCTGCCTCAGCTATAGAGAACTCTACATTGAAGCCCTGGGACTAGGCTACGCACCCCCAATGTCTACAGGATCCGTCAGATCCAGCCGCCCACTCACCCCCCCCCCGAAGTAGGGAAGGAGGCTCAGCGCCTCCTGGTTGAAACAGTCTCCACAGGAACTCTGAGTTCATTGCAGCTACAATAACACAGCGGGAATGAAATTCCCAAACCCCTGCAGGGGAGGTGGCTCTGCTATAGCAGCCCTCAAGAGGAGCCTTTATCCCCTTTAGCTCTGCCCTCCGTTCTGCCCTCCTCTGTCCAGTCCCGAGTTCTCCCCCCCCCCACCACACGCTCTGCAGGCAGCCTGAGCAAAACCTGAGACACAAAGCTCTGCCCACTAACCGGTCCAGAGGCAGGACCCAGGGACCCAAGCACCCAGCTGTAAGGAGCATCCATACTGGGTACAAACGCCTTAGGAAAGGTGCCTCGAGGGACCTATTTAAGTTCCTTCTATATCTCCTCGCCAGCTTCTTTTCCTGCTGCTACTGCTAACTGCCTAGACGACCAGACGCGGCTGCTTCTCCAGTTACAGTGTATCTATCCTTCACGGCTGCTTCTCCTTTCAGCCAGCATACAGACATCCTTAGGCCGGCACATCCCGAGTCCCTGAAATTTACCAACCCTCCCCCTAAGCCCCAGAATCCAAACTTCAAACCCTACTCTAGAGCCCCCTGAAACTACAGAGTAACGCCCAGACTACAACACAGGACCCTGAAATCGTACCATCACGGCGCCCCGGTACCCCAATATAGCCTCTGGAGGGCTCAGAGCAGTGACCCCAGAGCCCAATTTTGCGCCCTCTAGGGCCCCTAAACAGAGACTACAGGTACTAACATAGTTCGATGAGATTCTGAGCTGTGTACCAAATCCCAATATAACATCTTTGGTACCCCATCGCCATGATCTGGAACCCCAAGTTAGAGCTAGCACAGACCACAGTGAAGTGGTCCTAATTTCAATTAAGCGCTTTTTTTTTGAGACCCCAATAGATCGCTGAAACCCTGGAACAGCTTCCTTGATGCCAAGCATTTAGCGCCCCCTAGCGATCTGCCCGAGTTCCCCCTTCACTAGCAAAGCGGCGCCCTGCTCTAGCCTCCTCTCTTACCGTTTGCCGCTGCTGCCACTACCCGAGGTCCCATGGAAAGAAGAGGGCCAGGACATGCGGGACTTGCGCAGGCCAGGCCGGTCACTCGTGTCCACAGCATCAGCACGCTCTATGGGCCGGTGCGGGGCCCGCTCCCGCTCAGAGTCCCCGCGCTCCGGCTCCCCGCGTGTCCCCCGCGCTCCACGTTCCGGGTCTGTGTTGTCAGAGTAGCCACGCTGCTGGATCCGGATCGGGGTCCGTGGCTGGCGCCACAGGTGCTGGGGTGGCCTTAGCGTGGCCTGGCCATCCCGAACCCCCGGCAGCGACAGGGACAGGCTCTTCTTAGAGCAGGGTGGCGGCTCCATTCCGCGTATCCAGCCCACCCCGGTTCCCTCTCGGACCTCGGCTTTCAGTGGTGCGCAGCCCCCTGCGCCCAGGCCAGAGTCCTTGCACTCTGCCTTGCCTGAGCCATCTCGCCCCTGAACCAACAAGGGCGGGCAGTGGCCAGCGCAGGGGCTCCGGACACAGAGTCCAAGGGTAGCGGGAAGAGCGGAGTAGGGGGACAGAGACACGGGTCACTGCGGGGGTCGGCAGCGGAGAGGGCTGCTGGGCGCTGAGAGGTTTTGAGCTTGGATGAGATTCTCTGGGGCCCCAGGGCTTTCGTCAAGAAAGCCCTGAACCAAGAATCTTGGATCCCGCAGGGGCTAGCCGGGAAAGGCACTCTTCGCCTTCTTCCCTCCTCCCTGGGGCTCAGGGGTCCCAAAGGGCGCCCCGCGCCCCACAGCACAAATCAGCCCAGCTGCTGCCGCGGCGCCGCCGCCTCACTGAGTCCGCGGCTCCGCGCTCTGCTCCGCGCCCGCCCCGCGCTCCCGCCCCGCCCCCGCTGCCGCCATAGCTGCCACCGCCGGCTGTCAGCGCCGCCCCCAGCCCCCAAGCTTTAACGTGGGGGTGGGGGGAAGTTAGCCCTCTGGGGGATAGACGGAGATGGATTTCTCCCTTCACCTCATAGGTCTCAATTGGACGCACGCGATTCTTCCTACCCAGCCCAGCACCACCACACCCGCTTGAGTGGGAGGGGGCCCAGTGCCCTCCCTTTCTGCAACACCGCCTAGGCAAGTACGGGCACTAAGGAGTTAACTTGGTAAACCGACGCGGGGAAAGCTCAACTTCCGTCTATCAGTCCTCTGTCTGTCAGTCAAAGGGGGCGGAGTCAACGGCCGAAGGTCTTAACGGGACCCTGTGTGTCCATCTGTGAGTATGTAACTGTCTTTGAATGTATGTCCGTGTGTGTTGATGGGAATGTGATTGTGGAGGAATGTGTCCGCGTGTGTACCTGTACGTGTGTGCACCTTGTATGTTTTTATTGGTGTGTGTTTGTGACTGTAAGTAGTATATGTGTGTGTCTGTGTGACTGGATGTGTGTATATGAGCCCATGCGTGGGTCTAGGTGTGTGTCTGGGCGTGCATGTTGTCTAGAGTGGGTAGAGGAAGAAGCCTACTGGAGGAAATACTTCAGCTCGTTGAACACTAATCTATCGGTCCCTGCGGGGACTCCCTAACTTGCAGTGGGGAAACTGAAGCACTATCTCTGATAGTCCGGAAAAAAAGAAAAGAAAAGATCCTCCCCTACGGGGCTGTCGGGTTCCAAGGATCATTTCTTCGCTGCTAGGGTGGGCAGACAGGACTCTATTGGTCTACTGGGGAGAGGAGAAGGAGCCTTCAGGCTCCGGAGAAAAGCACGACCTTTCCCAAGAAGTAAACGGGGAGCGCACCCCCACCACCACTGCTCCGAGGCCACCGAATGTCCCCACCCCCACCCTACCCCCTGCAGCGCCTAATTCTGGAGAGGCCGTGACTCACTCCCCGCCGCCCCCTGCGCCCTGCGGAGCTGAGCCAAGTCAAGCGGAGCCGAGTAGGGTTGCAGCCATGGTCTTCAAGTCCTCAGCCCCCCAGCCCCAGGATCCCCTACCAGCCCTACCGCGGGTTTCGGACCTACATTATCTATACTACTTCCCCCGTCCCAGTCCAATCTCTACTGCGCGTTCCTCCCTCCCTCTGGAAGCAGTGGAATAGTCTGTACCATCCCCCCAACCCGTACTCCCGCCCCCCCCCTCCAGCGCTTTTATAAAAAGAGCTGCCAATCTTGCTGCTGCCGGAGACCGATTTCATCCCCCACAAAGCTCTTCTAGTTCCCAACCCTTCCCTTCCTATCTTCTCCCCTCTCTTCCCCCCTCCAAATAAGGCCTGGGCCCCCTCTAACAAAAAGGGATCGAGGTGGTGGGCTCTCAAGCTTATGAAGAAAGGACCAAAATGTGGGGACCGCGAGGTAGAGCCAGAATCTGTTCCCAATCCCTACTCCTCCCATACTGCTCCTCACACAGGGACAGAACTCCACATGGTAACCCTTCAGAAGGGATAGAGTCTCCCCCGACCAGAGGACAAAAGAACTGGTGACAAGATGTCCTGAAACTGAGGCTTCCTAATTCATGTCCCTGCCCCATAGAATTGTCTGGATTTGGGGGTCTGAGGTTAAGCCTTGGTAGTGTCAATAAATGAGGCATAATGTGGAAAAGAGAGTGCCCCCTTTCTGGGATCTATTGGTGGCAGGGAGGGAAGAAAAATAGATACTGGAGTTTGCAGAGGAACTGGGAGGTCCTTACAGGTGAGACATAGCTAGAGATCAAGGTTCAGCAATGCCTTTCCCCCACCCTTCCCTACTACAGAAGCTAAGTCCCCACCTTTGGGGAGGTTATCTACCTGAGTACCAAGGGGGCAAAACTGAGGCTTCAACGTGGAGGTGGTGGGGTGGGTGGGGAGAGTCACTTAAAGCCAAATAAAAGGCTAGAGGCATCCTCCCTGTATATCTCTCCTCCTCACCCCCCCCATTACATCAGAGAGATGAGAAGATCAGCAAAGATCGACTGTACTCCTAGACAAGAAATGACAGAGTCTGTGGGGTGCAGCAGGTGAACACTAAAAGTGCACCTCTTCTGTCAGGCTGGTCAATTTCTCCTCTAAAGACTAGTCCAGGAGCCTAGGCCAGTTTGACAGGTATTGTTCCCAAGTTCAACCTCAGTCCCCCATAGTACATAAGAAATCCTGTATGATGCAAAAATGGCCATGATGCTCCACCTTTTGGGCCATGGTCTTTTCCCCTTCTTCACATATCCCTTGTTTTGCAAATCTCTAATGTACTTATCATATAATACATACAAGGCTGTGGCTTACCTAAACTATATTAATTCCAGCATCTAACACACTTGGGGACATTTAGGGTTTATTGAATCTGTGACTGACTATCTTATCTCCCTACTAGGCTGAGAATCATAAAAGCAGAGATAAAGCCTTAATTAGTATCTGCCTCTAAACCAACACAAAGTTTGGCACACTTAATATGGTTTTTTTGACTGGACAAATCATGTAACATACACTTTCTAATCTATAAAAAAGCAATAGTAGTGAGACATTGGACTTGTACCAACTACCACACAGTAGTGTTGTGAGGAACGCACTTTGTGAAGTGAAAAATTGTTTAGAAATGTGAGACAAATGTAATTATTCTTTTCATCCAAAGTAAGGTGCAGGAGAAAGAAAGATAATGAACTAGGAACCAGAAGACCTGGACTCTAAGTCTGGTTCTGGTACTAACTTGCATTGTGACCTTGAGCTATTCCCTTCCCTAATCTGGGGCTCAGTTTCCCCACCTGTAATAGGAAGTGATTTGACAAGATAATCTCCAAAGCTCCTTCAATTTTATAAGTGGGATTCCCTTAGTATGTCAGATCCTGAGAGGGTCCAGCCTAGATCTGAGCCCTGCAGCTCCTGAACATGTCAGGATGGCTTTGGCCATGATTTCAAAGGGAGGACCCCATGCAGCCTGGCAGAAGAAAAGCCAGTGGGTTGAAAAACAGGGGGATAAGAGTATGAGCAGTCCCACGTTCAGGGAACAGACCAAAACTGCTCTGGTTGTTAATGGTATGGCTGGGCTGGGTTCACTCCCCCCCCCCACATACATACATACACCTTGGCTTCTCTTATTTCCTACCCTCCACCATGTCCATGGGGCTCCACTATGTTAGGGAAGTAGCCAAAGCCCGGCGTCATGGTGTGGCAAAAAAAAAAAAAAAAGGCAGTGGGTTTGGAGTTGAGCAGTTGGAGGGCTGGCTCTGATAACTGCGTAACCTGTGTGACTTGAAGCTAGTTCCTTCACCTCTCTGGGCCTCGGTTTCCTTCTCTATAAAGCGGGGCTCGACTAAATTTCTAAGGTCCCTTCTAGCTTGGAATCTCCCAGGAGAGAGTCCCTCCCCTCCCCCTCGTCCCCCACCCTCCTCCCTACCTGTCAGGCTCTGCCCTGGTGACTGAGATGAGGGGTGGTATCAGCAGCGCCAGCGTGTTGGGCCGAGGCCGTGAGACTGCATCAACAGGTTCCTGGTCCACCCAGCCCGGACCGTAGGGACCGGAGGAAAGGCGGCGGAGTCGGAGACGAGGACGCAGCTCAGCGCCCCAGAGTGCTGCCCCCTGCATGGGAGAGTCTACAGCGACTTGACTCCCCAGCCTCCCTTGGCCTCTGCAGAGGGTAGGATGGGAATTGGGGATTGGACCGTATCCCAGCCCGTGTTTCCCCCTCGTCCTCTCTCCTCCCTCCCCAAGGAATGCCCGTGTTTCCATGTGAATCCAAATTCGTGGAATTGCACATCTCGGAAGGATATAAATCCAATTTAAATCGGTACACTCCTTAAATGAGAGATAGTCACTGATCGCATCTCGGGCCCCTAGCTGCTTCGAGCTCCGCCCCTAGACTGGCCTCAAAAGTAAGGGAATAGCTCGTCTCCAGTACGCCCACTCCCTTCCTCTCTTGTCAGACTCCAGAAAGATCAGCAGGGACAGTGCTGGGGGCTCCATACAGAGGCTTGAGGCAGGGGTAGTTAATCCCTGCAGGGAAGAGGCCGTGATCTGAGCTCCTTCAGTCTGGGGAAGTCTACCCTGGCATCCCAGCCCAGATTTGTTCTGTTTGCCTGAAGCTCGAGTGGCACAGGCTGGGATCCCAGATTCCAAGACGGGGGCGGTGGGCGTGGGGAGGTTCTTAAAGGGAGTGGCCAATAGAGGGCGCACTATTAGAACCTCCGCAAACTTGTGCCCAAGCTCCTACTTGTGCCCTGCCCCGGGACCCCATGCCCCCTCTCACCCGAGCCGGGTAGCGCACCTCGTCTCCGCTCACCGCCACGGCCAAGAAACTGCGGCTTCTTCTCATCCTGCGGTCCCTAAGAAGCAGGGGCCATGGATCCCCCAGGACAAAAGCCTGGAGGGGGCGTGGAAGCTCCTAGGAAAGAAAGATGGAGAAAAAGAAGAAAAGGAAGGGGAAAAAAAGAAGGCGAGGAGGAAGGAAAAAGGAAGGAAAGAAGGAAGAGTGGGGCTATGGTTAGAATACCTTGTCCTCTCCTGTTCAAGTGCCCCTTGCACTGATAGGAGGTTCAGAGCTCTCACTCAATATCCTGTTCCTTCACCACAAGGCCTTGTACCTACTCCAAATTCCCTCCCACGCAGGTAAGCGTGTCCTACTCCCCCAGCCCCAAATAGGCAATGTCCCCCCCAAAGTGGGAATCCCACGTCTTCCAAGCTTCATCCTCCTCCTACTAGCCTCTCACCATCCTGAGGCCATGGCTCCCTCCAAAGTGGAATGCTCTTGCTGGACCATGTCCTGACCCCTCCCTTCCCCCATTCCCAGGTTTCTCCCTGTTTCTCGGGCTCCCCCTGCCAGACAGTCCCCTCTTGTCCCAAGGTGAGATGTCAGAGGAATCCCTATGTCCTCTGCCCCTGGTGTCATTTCCCTGAAGCGTGACGCCCCCCTGCCCCGAGTGGATGAAGCCCCTACTGGGGGAGGGGGAGGAGTGTGCTGTGACGTTGCCTGTGGTTGCCGCGGGAACGGATGACGCAGAATGTGCTGGGTGGCGTCAATGCTGCGTCCCTTCCCCGCGGGGCTCTCCCAGTTGAGGAGATCCCAAGGAACGACTGGCAGACCCCTTCCCCATAGTGCCCCTCCCGGGTGGTCCCCACAGCCGGTGCTACAGAATGGGCTAAACTGGGCAGGAACCTAGATGGTTCTATTGCCAACCTCGTGATGATTTAGGCAGTGGATCGGGCAAGCCAGGTTGGGGAGGGAGGAGAGGGGAAGGTGGAGCAGGAGGAAAGTGACTGTGGATACAGAAAGGGGGGGGGCCCAGGAGAGAGCAACAGAGAGATAGAGAAAGGCAGAGACAAAGACAGAAGAGAAATGCCAGGAAAGAGAGATATCGAGATACAAAAGGAGAGAGGGAGAGATGCGCAGGGAGGGAGATGCACGAAGGGAGAGAGACAGAGACTGAGAAAAACAAAGAAAGAAGCAAAACCAGAGAGAGACCTAGCTGGAGAAAAAGAAAGATAATGACGGTACAATGATACAGAGATAAACAGAGATGTACACAGAGATCCAACACTCACTGAAATGTATGGGCCGAAATCCCCATCTCACCCCCTTTCTCCAGTGTGCTCAGGGACAGAACGCAGGGAGATAAAAGGGAAGGAGGGAGGCAGTCACTGTCCCAGCACCTGCAAGAGTATGAGGCTCCCCAAAGCGACAGAAGGGAGGAGAGAGCTGGAGAGTTCCGGACACTGCACCTCCTAGCCCAACTGCTCCACTCCTCCCTTCCAGACTTGCTCCTCACAGTCCCCCTCCCAAGCCGGATGTCACTGCTGGGGTCCGGGGATGACGCCGGGTAGGCCACTGGAGGGCACAGATGGCTGGGCAAAACGGAGGCGGGGTTGAGGGGACTGGCATCAGAATGGACTCGGGTATGAGGGCCCGTCAGAACTTAACTCCTTCTCAGCTGGACTTGATGATCTAAGCTTTCAAGGCTGGATGGGTCAGGCTGAAGGGAATGAAAGGGTCTAAAGGGACAGAGGGGACTGAAGCGAGTACTATTGGAGGATACTTTACAATTGAGAAAAAAAGATGGGTAAAGGAATTGGAAGGACCCAGGAAGTTGAAGGGATGAGTTGATCTTTAGGGTTAACTACCTCAAAGATCCTTGCAGTCTTTGGGAAGGGCAGCCTTCTCCTTTCCTTGGGCATGCATCTCTTCAGACCTTATAAAATCAAGACACTGGGTCTGGGAAGAGAAAGGGCTGGCTAAGGGTCAGGGGTACTTTAAGAGATGGAACAGGTGCCTCCTCCCTGTGCCCAGAGGAGTTGGGATAAAGCAGGGAAAGTCTTAGGTAAGAATGCTGATCCCCAACTCCAGGTGCTTATGAGTCTGAGAACATATTAGGTGTCTGCATCTGTCAAATGTTGGAGAGTATGCCAGTTGGGTCTGAGTAGTGGAATATGCATGTTCAGGAGTAAATGTGGAAGACTGTCTGTTGGACAATACGTTCCATGGCAAGCAGGTTGCCCAGAGGATTAGGGTTAGACCAGTCATCCCCAGACCCTCTAGGAAGAATGTCTGGAAGTAGGGATGGAATCATTGGGAGGAAGGAACCCCAAAGGATGGTTTTAAGGGCTCAGACACTCACTACCTAGTCTATAACTTGGAGTTGCAGGATGGGTTTCTCCAGTTCTCAGACTCACACACACATTATTATCCTGAGTCCAAATCCCTTTAGCTTCAGATGGATGCAGGGAGTGAAGGCCAAGGGAC